AGTGCCACCAATTATTGCCCAGGCATGAGAGATGCAAAGATTTTCAACACCGAGATGGAAAAGAAAAGTGTTTATTTGGGAGGCAAATTTTTTGAAAAAGATAAAATTAATGGTAGTTATATCTTCTTTAATCTTATTCAGTTGAGAATACTGTTTCTTATAAGTTATTAGTATATACCACAAGTGAATAGTACTTTCCGCGCACGCTGATTGGCTAGCTTGGAGGTGATTAGCCATGTAGTATTCACCTCCGAGGAGGCGAAGAAAAACAAAATGGCTTCCCGTTTCAAATAAAGTTACTCTTAAACAAACAAAGTTACTCTTTGGTCCGCTAGTTACTCAGTGTGTGTGGTATATACGTACTAAAACAATTATTCACCTCAGTGTCAGTGAAAGTGGTGGATATTTACCTCCACTTCGGTGAATAATTGTTAATTGGTAACTACATGTATGCAATCAAATGTTAAATCAAAAGATTTAAGATTTCATTTACCGGGTAACGTTCATCTATTAATATGGATTTATATCAAAGATTTGGAGCATGTTAGTCTATCAAAATGTTAGTTTTGTTCTCAATGTACACACTTACTTCTTCATGAATGTGATAAGCTAACTCCATTGCATTATAGACATCTGTTAGTGATGATTGTTGTACTATTCACCCAGCTGTGAATTGAATTTTAAGCTACTTATTATTAACTAATGTGAAATGTACATTGTATTGAATAATTTTCTTAAGTTGCACATTTCTTTCCATTTTATACAACTGTGGGTGATCCAATGTTCTTATATCATGTTATTAAATCTAAACATCTTGGCATGACATCACTGGAGAAGTTGACACAGCAAGAACTACGTAGCATTTGCGAAGAATGTAAAATTGAAAAAGTCTCGAGTCTTTCAAAGGTGATTATTTGAAAAATTTTCAATCGGTGATCCATTTTTTGTAGAGATGAATTAACTTTCAGATAAAGTGTGCCACTCCTCGTTAATGGCCTCAGCCAAACAAGGTTGAGATTTTCCGAGTTTTAATTTGCTCTCTTGAAATGTCATAAGCCAGGGCAAGACAGTCATTAAACTTTCATTGGTCTCAGTCTCGTCGTTTGAGCATCTCTATTTCTTTGGAAAGCTTCTTTTAAGTCTTGATCTTGATCTCTTAAAAATTGAAAAAAGTCTTTGCCTCGCAGAGAAAAATGTTTAATTCTCGGCAATGCTTGATTTTACCATTCTCCACCCTTGTCACTGTAGCTATGAAAACCAAAATTAGAGCAGTGAACCTTAAACCTTTCATTTATAATAACTTTTGATCATATAGTAGTTGGAATAGAATATCAGTTTATATATGAGAGTCAAGCATAGAGTCTTAAAGAAAATGTGAGATGTGATTTCTGTCAAATTTTATTATTTTTTGATTTTATTGTTATTATGG